TGTCACTTGTACACGTGGCGCGATTTCATTGGCCTTTTAGTGTGACTTGGCATGCCTTGTCATTTTGACATGTGGCATGATCCTATTGGCTCTTCCGTTTGACTTGGCGCGCCACGTCATTTGACACGTGGCACCAAATTAGGCCTCTAGGAAGATGACATCTTGGGCTTAGTAAAGTAGGCTCATCACTTTAGCCCAATTAAATGGGCTAGCCCAATGGATCAAGAATTATTTATTTAATCCATATATGTTGGAACTATATAATTAATTCATTTATATATTAGCCCATAATGTTTATTTGGACCAATATATCTTGAATTTAAAATATAATCCAAATTATTTTATGGATTTAATTTAAGTAAAATTTATATACCTACAACATTATCCAAAAGTTTGAAGTTAAATATGCAAACTTCACATATTCAGCTAACAAAAGTTAGCAACATTACACTTAATCAGTTGACAAAAGTTATACAATATTCAACAGTTAAGCATCAACTAAGTAGGACCAACAGATGGGCGGGATGATAATGCCATCTCGCTCTTCATGCTCCTCCATTGCTCCTCTATAGAACGAAATCGATCGTGACTTTGTTGCCTCATAAGTGCAACCTCCTGCTCGACGCGTTGCTGCACCTCTTGCTCGACTCGTTGTTGCACCTCTTGTCGATGCGATGTTGTACCTTTTCCTCTAACCGTTATTGAAGAATCCTCTCTTGAGTAGCTCATGAAATAGGCATATCAGTAGGTTTATGAATAGGTAAAAAACATCATATTTGCATAAGTTCTGTAGTAATATATCGCATCTTCATAATACAACAACACTATCTGGTTTAAGGAGTGCATACATGAATTGCAATNAAGTACCAGATACTTAAAAAGGAACAAGGAAAGCAAACACTTAAAAAGGACCTTCAGCAACAAACTTTCACATTAAGGATAAAAACAGCTAAACATGCCAACAGAAGACAAAAAGAGAGGCTACATAATCATATAATATTATAATTAACTCTCCTTTGACAATTCCAATCGTATTCAACTATTGCACACAGTTAAACAAGTATTTTTTGAATACCCTTATATAAACGAGTTCATCCACTGAGGCTATTTCATTACAAGAACAAACAAATACAGAGAGGTCGACATAGCTGGTTGCATAAAAATACAGCAAAGGAGAAGATGCCAGATCTCTTTACAGAAACTTAGTAACTACTATCCAACTCTATGAATCCAATCAACAAATATCAAACAGAAAAAAGTTACATGCTCGAATTAGTATCTCCGTGTGTGTGTGTGAAAGATAGAGCGAGGGAGAACACAGACATAAATCATTGGTCAATTGTAGCTCTTAGTCTATTTTATCCAAAATACAATTATATATTATAACTGAACATATTAGTAGGCAATTACTCCACTAAAAGGTCAAAAGAAATACCAAGTCTCTAGTATGCTCCACTGTAGACCTAGAACCACCCAACTGAAATGATTGCCCGACCAGATGTGCATGAGCCACGAGTAGATCCAATAGAAACATCTGCAGCACCAGGCGTACTAGGAGTACCAGGAGTATTAGGAACTGATGAGCTGCTCTAGAAGGTATTACAAAATATAAGTAAAGGACATCATTAAAATTTCAAACTACCAAAAATTCTATAATAATACTAACTTAACTGACTGACCATATTTATGAAATACCTCATTCCATATCACATGTTCTAACATATAATTCAAAATAAGGTTCGGCCTTGAAAAATTCAAACCCATCAAAAAGTTCAAATTTTGTACTTCAAATGACACAAGTTTATTCATTATCTTCCTGTTGTTCCTCTTCCTCGTCGCTATCCTCCTCCTCCTCCTCCTCCTCTTCTTCTTCTTCTTCATCTTCTTCTTCTTGTTCCTCCTCCTCCTCCTCCTCCTCCTCCTCCTCCTCCTCTCCCTCCTCCGCTCCCTCCTCCCCTTCTGGTTCATTAGTTTCATTATCATTCACATCATCTATGTCAATGAATGAACCATTTGGATCAGCCAGCATATGGGGTGTTTCATCTACAACAACAATTCTATGCACTTGAGTAATCATCCTCTTGAAAAGCTGAATCAATGTGGTGTTCTGTTATTTCTGCAACCTCCACAACAGATCGTGCCTTTATCTTGCAAACAGCAAGCCAATCATTTATTGTCTTCTTTACAGTAGGTAGGAGCGTTCATGGTTCGGTTTGGATCGGTTTTTCCCTAAAAGGAAACCAAACCAAGTAAGTCGGTTTTTCAAATATTAGAACCAAACCAAACCAATTAAGTCGGTTTTTCTCGATTCGGTTTATGTCGAATTTTGTCGGTTTTTCGGTTTTTTTGGTGATTTATTGGTTTTTTCTTAAATATAAGACATACACTACCAAACACATATTCCGGCGACCACATTTTCAACGTAGCACTATCAAATCAATTGTCCTTTGAGAAATCTATTACATTTAACAAAAGAAAACTATCAATCAAACTAGAATGTAAAGTTAAAGAATTGTACTAAAAGTGCAAACGATTAACATTTACCATAAAAAATTTGAAACTTTGTATAAAAATATACATATATATAGGTGTAATAAAAAATTTGAAATAGCTACTCCTATAGTCGGTTTGGTTCGGTTTTTTTCCAATTAAAACCAAAACCAAACTAAATTTGATCGGTTTTTAAAATTCAAAGCCAAAACCAAATCAAACCAAAAAGTAACGATTTTTTTGGTCGGTTTGGTTTGGTTTTCGGTTTGGTTCGATTTTTCAGGTTTTTATGAACACACCTAACAGTAGGATACGTTGCATAGTACACCTGAGTAACTTGTACAGCCATAATAAATGGTTCATATCTGTTAAAGGTTCTTTTTTTGTTAACATCAACAAGATTGTATTGTGGATGTACTCTAGTACCATATTTTGGTGTAGGATCGAACCAAGAACACTTAAATAACACAATTCGCTTGATTGGTATTGCGGGGTACTCTAACCGCAAAATTTCTATCAATCGACCATAATAATCAATATCATGTGCACTATGGCTAGAACCCTTGATGCATACTCCACTATTCATCGCTGATTTACTTGAACCATATTTTCCTGTGTGAAACTTGTATCCATTGACAACATGTCCATTTAAGGACTTAACCTTATGCAACGGCCCCTTTGCAAGATCTTTAATAATTTGACTGGTAATATTTGATAAAGGATCGTGTGCCTATTGACATTAAGGTAATTAAGCATGTTAGGATTAAGAATATGTTTGTATTTTAAGGGAAGAAAGAGAATAGTTTAAACCTATTATTACTTACATATTTTTCAAACAAAGATGCAAACTCTGTTTCAAGTTTATTATCAATCTCGCTATCTTGAATATATGGTTGAGCTTCTCTCAAGGTATCTTCATAGATCCTATAAAGAAAGAAAACTAATTTATTTCACCAATATCAAATGTAAATGATATTGATATTTGAATCATTATTAAAAATACGTTAAGTATGGTTTCACTTCATCACAATTCAACAGAATATATGTACGAGCTGCTTGATATTCTTTATCATCTAACCGCCTGAATTTCTTTCGACCAAAAGATCGGCCAACATGTTTGAAAATAGAAAGCATTCCTGGATGATCATTTGCTCCGACCCCACAATGATCCGAATTTCGTGGCACTTTCCTATGCGTTGTCGAAACATGTGACTTGAAGTAATGCGCACAAAATGATGAAGCTTCTTCAACCAAATATGCATGCATATTGAGCCTTATACTTCAGATTTATTTTTGACATTTTTCTTTAGCTTATGAAGATACCTAAAAGAAATAAAATATATCAATATGTAATTAGTCATAAATTTATATATCTTACATCCTAAAATTAATTTTAGTTACCTCTCGTAGGGATACATCCAACGGCCTTGCACTGGACCCGCTAAACGCGTTTCATAAGCTAAATGAACAGCAAGATGTTCCATAGAGTCAAAGAAGCTTGGAGGAAAACCAAGTTCAACCTTACACATAGTATCAGGAACATTTTTTTCTAATTGTCTCATGTCTTCCTCTTTTATTGTAGTAGATGTGAGATTTTTGAAGAAAAGACTCAATTCTGTCAATGGTTGCCATACATTTGCTGGAAGTAGTTCTCGAAATGCAATGGGTATTAGCCGTTGCATAAATACATGACAATCATGACTCTTCATACCAAACATTTTAAGGTTGCACACATCGACACTTCTATTACCCATGTTAGACACATAGCCATCAGGAAATGTCAACTCTTGCAATCACTTAAAAAGCACTTATTTTGCATTATTCTCTAACATATAACAAGCTTTCGGATACTTTTTGGTACATTCATCTTGATGTAACTCTGGACGATGGCATAATTCTTTCACATCTGCTCTAGATTTGGCATTATTTTTTGTTTTTCCTTTGACATTCATCACGGTGTTAAAAATGTTATCAAACACAGTCTTCTCTATGTGCATTACATCAAGGTTATGCCTAATGAGATTTGTTTTCCAATAAGGCAAGTCCCAAAATATATTTTTTTTCTTCCAACAACATAAAGGATTCTTTGAAATTCTAGCATTTATCACTTCAGAACCAAGTTCTTTGACTTTCTTGAGTCCAAAACAGTTCAACTCATCAATGAGAGGTTGTAAGAAGATATCAATTTTCTGTTTAGGATTTTTTGGACCAGGTATAATCACTGATAAAAACATGTATTCATCTTTCATACACATTCCCGGTGGCAAATTATATGGTGTAATTATCACAGGCCAAGAAGAATATTGTTGTCCTGATTGACCAAACGGGTTAAACCCATCCGTGCACAAACCCAATCTGGCATTTCTTACTTCAGATGCAAAATGTGGATATGTCGCATCAAAATGTAGAGTCTGAGCAATGACGCATTACACCATCTTTTTCATGCTCAAAATGCCATCTCATATGTTTAGCCGTAGAATTAGATGCATACAACCTTTGAAGACGTGGAGTTAAAGGAAAATAATACATCTTCTTATAGGAAATATTAGTTTTTTGCTCGGTACGTCTAAGTTTTGATCTCTTAAACCGAGGATGGCTACAAAACTTGCAACTATCAAGTTCATTATCTTCGCGCCAATAAATCATACAACCATTGTTGCAACAATCAATCTTTTCTACTGGCAAGCCCAAGCCTCGCATTAGCTTTTTTTATCAGTCGACATCAATTCTGATAAAAGTTGACATAAGTCATCATAACACCTTTCAGAAAAATGATGTTCTGCCTTTAGATTCAACAGTCTAGCAACGGCAGACAACTGCGAATGTCCGTGTGGGTTTCCCACCCATACTTCCTGTTCTGATGCTTTGAGCATATTATAAAGATGTTGAGTTGTTGGATTCGGGTCCTCTTCTAAGTTTCGATCATAAGATGGCCCAGCAACATCAAAAACCATAGATTGAAATGAGTTATGAGATTGGGGATTATGAGTTTCTTGTTGTACAGTTTCACCAACTATTTCTTCTTGATTAACATTACATACTCCTGGATATGGAATATAACTTTCACCATGGTGATACCAAAAATAACAATTCGGTACAAAACCGTGTCTTCCAAGATGTACCATAACAGTAATTTCATCTAAGATATTTCTATTCCGGCATTTATGATGATTACAAGGACATCTTAGTTTTTCGCCATCCATGCATTGTGGATGACTTTTAGCAAAGCAACAAACTCCTCAACCCCAGCAATAAATCTAGGATTAATGAATCTATTTTCCAATCTAGCATACATCCACTCACGATTAGAATTCATATTCTACACTCTGACAAGACAATAATAAAACATATGTTATAACTTACATGATGATAATTAAACCATAAGAGCTTACATAAGACTGTAGAATCGAGCACAAAACTTAAAATATAAATTCAAATAAATATTTACACGTACAGGCAAAGAGAGTTAAGATAGATGTTGCAATGAAAGACAATAATTTTTATTTGCTTTGCTATGTGAAATACTACCAAGAGTATAAAGTTTTAAGAAACTGCTAAAGCTTCTTCGGTTACCCACAATTAAAGCCCTTATCTTTATGCTTTTGTAGATATTTGAATACTTGCAATACAGTTCTTTCTTTGTATATATACACCAAAAATTACAAATAAAAAATCTGCCATATCTTAAAACCCAAGCTTAAAAACAGTAAAGACTTAATTTATTTTTTTATTTTACTAGTTAAGAAACTAACACATGTAGGTTTTTCACTTCACAATTTATCTATTCTGGCACTTTTGATGAAGACCCACTAAAAAATTTCTATAAATTTCAAATATTTAGAGTTGGGATAAAATAAAATTGAATAAAATAAATAAATAATTAAATGCATGGCATGCAATAGTTTTTTTAGTTCACCTTGAAGATTTTTGAGCTTTAGTTGAAGGATCCAATAGAAAGGCAGAGAAAAACTAAGAAGGAATGATGCTGTTCACTTCAACAAACTGCTTTTTTGAGCAAAGCCTAACTGGGAATGGAGCAAATCAAAGCTGAAACAGATTGAAATAAAAAGGAATAAAAAATTAGCCCAAAAATTACTAGATTTATGAACAAAGAGAATGATAAAGAAGGAAACCTGAAAAGAATGAGGGAGTCAAATAGCTTGTAGTGAAGCTTGTTGAGGATGGTGATGGACAAGGTATTGAAGAATCGATGGTTGAAGGTGAAGGGGAAAAGAGACCTCTGTGAATTTGGGGGGAAAGAAAATAAGGGTTTTGGACTATTATTTGATGTAAGGGGGGAAATACGGGTGGGAAAACTAAAAAGTAGTCCAAAATTTTCTAAAACAAGTGCTACACACATGGGTCAAAACTATTACCTATTTTAAGCTTTTTAAATTTTGTGACGGATTTAGATGTATGTCACAAATTGTGATGCATTCGGCCGTCACAAAAGAATAATTTGTATTAGTTATTTATTTTAAATAATATTGTGACAATTTTGTGACGGAATTTCGTCAGATTATTTTGCCGCCATAATTTCGTGGCAATTTATTTTTGCTATCTCTAAGTTCCGTCACAACTTTGTTACAAATCCGTCACAAATATAATTTTTGTAAAATATTATATTTTTTCAGCAAATTTTAGGCTATGTAAGGATGATCCATCACAAATCCGATAAAATTCCTTCACAATTTTGTGAACAACTTGTCTGTCACAAAATCTCCGTCACAATTTTGACTATTTTTTGTAGTGTTTGTGAATAAATAAAGTTTCTAGCTGGAAATGGCCTCAATTGAGGTGTTCACCTGATCATTGAGGACAACTTAAAGGGACGCATTATGTATTTCGCCTTAACTATTTTGTTCATGGATTCTTGAAAAGGAAAAAGACAAGGAAAATAATGCTTCTAGACTTTGAAGTGAAACATGCAACATGTTATCAATCTGTATTGCTGTAAGTAAATAAAACATTAATCTTTCTGAAAATAAAACAGAAAGTTAGTAGAAACAATTCTGAAAAATAATATTCGAACTTCAAAATAATTTTTGAAACGTTGAAGGAACAAATCGAGCCCACTGAATACACAGTGTGTCCTTAAGGAAATTATTCCCCTCAAGTACCCGAGGTTATGGAATATATCCTCCCAGTATAGAACGATTTAACTCACCGGAGTGTTGGTACCAAAAACGCCGATGATCAGCGAACCACTCGATGGCAGCAAAACACACTGGAATTTTAGTGCAGAAGAAGAAGAAGATAATCAGAAAATTTCGTAAGTAAATATTCTGGGATTTGAAGGTCTATTTATAGCCAACTTGGTGATGTTTCTGAAGAGGTTTGCAACCTTTCAGAATAGTCATGACTGTTGGAACAGGTGTGACCCTCTGAAGAGGTTTGCAACCTTTCAGAACTGTCATGGCTGTTGGAACAGGTGTGACCCTCTGAAGAGGTTTGCAACTTTTCAGAATAGTCATGACTGTTGGAACAGGTGTGACACGGTTTCAGAACAGCCATGGTTGTTGGAAATTTTTGCGAGAAATTTAAAACGAATTTAAATTAATCCGGGAAAGAAAAACGGGCTAGGCCGGGCCGGATCGCGGGTCATCCCTCCATTTCTTTTCCCACTATTTTCCATTCACACCTCTTTTGTTATTATTTATTAAATAACAAACCCAACACAACATAAGAAAGGAGCCAAAACAGGGGGAAATTATTAAAAGGAAGCCAAAATGTTAATTAGCTAATAGATTATTCTACTAATCTTCAAATGATCAGGTTATGTAGGTAAAAGTATAATAATTTAGCAGCTACTTACTTCTGAAAATGTGAGTGCATATTTGCCAAGGATACGCCACAACGGATTTTTAGGGGGAAATAAATTTTGACATAGCCAAAAAAAAATAGTGTAATGTGCTTCAATGATCAGACAAGTTGTTATGCACTTTTGTAGAGAAGTGCAATTACCATGGAAGAAGAAACAAAGATGAAATACAAAAAGGAGTAATAATTGAGAAAATTTCATTACTTGCTGCATTATTTATAGGTAGATGAACAGTTATCCATCTTTAGCCATTTTAATGTAATAATATATCAGTGAAAGATTTCTTTTCTTTTCTCAAGGACAAAATAGTATTTCAGATTTTAAAGGATATTGTCGTAATTCAATTTTTGAAGATAGGAATCCTATAAAATATGATGATTTTTATGGAACAAAAGCTCTCAGGTTTTATGTACTGTTCCATAACTCACTCCTGTCCAGTTTAAGAAATTTGAGTAGGTCAAGGTTGGAGTTAGCCAAATATCAAACATCTGTGCAGTCCTCATCGGGTGACATGTTTTTCATTTTATAGAAGCTATAGTTAGTTAATGAGAATTATGTCAGTGATTTCAGCATTGTAGTCCATTCGTATGTGTTTCATACACACTCAATGCTTTAATAAAAGAGTATTGAGCGAGAAGATGGCAGTTGAGAGGGTCTACCACCAATTAACAGTTTGTTCAGCTGGAACCAACCATTTATACATAATAGCAAAAGAAGTTCGCACAATAGGAAAATGAAAATGATAATTAGAATTTGAAGAACATCAGCCAGGGTCATTTTCAACTGGACGCTTCATCAAAAATAATACTCCTATGTATACTAAAATTATTTTTTGTGCCTGCTTTATTTTTTTATTGCACAAGAATCAGAAAACAAAATAAAAAGAGATAAAGATAGCAGCATAGCCTGATATAATTGTCTTTGCAATCAAAACAAATTATTTTTCTTGTATATATTTTGCAGTTTTCTTTATTTTACTTTATAGTTTATTTTCTTTGCATAAATTCAATAGAAATTACATTGAATTTTATTTTACTCCAGAAGGTAATTTTAGTTCTCTCTTTCATAAAATTTGCAAAGACTTGAAAGTATAATTGTTTGAAATTATTTGTCATTTGTTAGTTTAATTTAATTTGGTTTCTGTTGGAATTTTTTCGTTGTTTTTATATTTTTTTGTGTGTGTATTGTTTGACTTAAAAGGTTAACGAACAGTGTTTAAGCAAATCAATCAAATGTATGAAAAGGGGTAAATCGTAATCAAAGATAATTGACACTAGAGTATGAGTAATCCTTTGTGGTTTGGTGATTCGGAGCAGTTAAAGGACAAAATTGCGTGATAATGTTACAAAGATCAGAGGTATCCATTTTTCAGAGAAAGAGAGAGAGAAGTAGAGACAGAGAGATAGAGAGAGTAAGTAGAAATGTTATTGATCAAAGATCCTCCCCCTTTACACAGTTGGGAACCCCCCTTATATAGCGGAGGGATTTTTCCTTTTTCCCTATTTACGATATAATGATAAAATATATAAACTAAAAATAAAGTGCACATTACAGAGGGGCCGACGTGATTACATGGTCGTCCCTCCGCTGGCTGGGTCAATATCAACGTTCGAGGAGATGGCGGACAAATTCGCTACTGCCCATGCGGGAGCAAAGAAGGCCGAAGCAAGGGTTAACGACATATTTGCAATCAGGCAAACGACAGGCGAAGGGCTCAGGGACTTCCTGGCACGATTCAACAGAGTGAGAATGAGCCTGCCTAACGTATCGGAGGGAATGGCAGTTGCCGCCTTCCAAAACGGTTTGAGCAGGGACGGGTCGAAAGCAACCAAGAAACTACTCAGCCGACTTATGAAGTATCCCCCCACAACGCCTACTGTGCAGAGGTAAGGGCAGACGAGGACGATCTTAACGGTCCGACCCAGCGGCTAACGTCAGTACAGACGGAAACCAGGAGAGATCGACGCAACGACGGGCGACGGGACCCACTCCCACGGTTTAACAGAGAAAGGCATCAGCCCTACGTTAGAGCCCCTAACCCGCCTCCTCCGAGACATCAGGACGCCTTGCAACGGCATACTGCTACGCTCCGAAATTTGTCCGCCATCTCCTCGAACGTTGATATTGACCCAGCCAGCGGAGGGACGACCATGTAATCACGTCGGCCCATCTGTAACGTGCACTTTATCTTTAGTTTATATATTTTATCTTTATATCGTAAATAGGGAAAAAGGGAAAATCCCTCCGCTATATAAGGGGGGTTCCCAACTGTGTAAAGGGGGAGGATCTTTGATCAATAACATT